ATAGATAGATAGATAGATAGATAGATAGATAGATAGATAGATAGATACAGTGGGGGAAATAAGTATTTGACCCCTTGCGGATTTTGCAGGTTTGCCCACTTTCAAAGAATGCTTATTTTTCCTCATCAGATGGTTATCAATTTTTATAAAATCATATGATGTGATTTTCTGGAATTTTCTTTGGGATTCTGTCTTTCACTGTTAGAATGTACATGTGATTAAAGTTATAGATCGTTGCATTCTTTGTAAGTGGGCAAACCGGCAAAATCGACAAGGGGTCAAATACTTATTTCCCCCACTGTAGATAGATAGATAGATAGATAGATAGATAGATAGATAGATAGATAGTGTGTATAGTGAGTGTGTCTTCGTTAGAGCAACATAATGAAGCGTCTTTGTCCTGATGATGTTTAGTGCATTAGGCCAATGCGTGAATACATGCATGAAGCCCGACACCAGACTGAAGACCGGAGTCCTGAGGCGAATAAACGGGTGCAGCCACTCAAAAACCTGCAGGACCCAACATCTGCCGGCTGAAGGAAGGGATGCTAGTTGGATTTTCATCCCGTAGTTTGTGCCAGTCGAATGGAATGACCCATTTATTAGTCACGCTCACATGCACTCAGTAGTTCTACACTACATGAGAAAACAAATTTAAAAAGTGTAACTATTATTTCAGTTATAAGCGAGTTTTTGTAGGATATGTAAGTATTTTAATCCCTCGGTAATGTGTTGAACTGAATTTTTTTAATATAAGCTAACATACCCAGATAATGCATAGCTTAAACATGCAGCTTTGAAGAGGGAAATTACTATGAAAAATACATCCCAGTTGACCCTGGACTACCCATCCTAATAAGCTGAGAGGAGGCAGAAACCACCTAACGACGTGAAGCCTGACTTGATTCAGTCGATAAATGGATCTTCTCCTTCATGCTTGTATACTGAGAGAAGACGTCTAATTAAGTGGCTTAGTTCAGCTCAAACATAGAGACTCACCTTATACGAAAGCACACTGAATGCTTAAAATGGACCAAATTGCATAAGTGAGGTTCTATACACATTCTGTGAATGTTAATTTCTTTTATTGACAGTGTAAATAAGATATTTCGGTACAATGAAAACTTAATTATTGTGTCACTTTAATGTAGATGTATTTTCTACTGTTCAAAAAGAAGTCATCAGGCAACCATTTCCCCTCAATGATTCTATTTATAATCACTAACGAATGAGCTAAAATGAAAGAAATCTGGGCTAATATTCTCTGAAATGCTCAGATTTGTGTTTCTACCTTGGTGGGCTGAACCTGTTGCACACAGACTTGGAATCCACATCGCATTAGGTTTAGATTTCGAGATCAATTTAACTTTTGGTGATTAAATCAAAGCGGATATTTCTTCCTGACAAGAACCTCCAAATGCTGAATGACATTAGGAAATTCAGTCTGAAGGCAGAATTTGGGAACTCGGAGTGAAACTTTTTTTTTTTTTTTTAACTCAGACTGTAACTATTCCCTGACAGAAATGGGTCAGTGAGGCCCACGCTTCATCTTTCAGCAATAGATCCTTCACGTCCTCCATCACTCCCCGGCTACATCCCATTAGCGGCCAGAACAGGGACATCCTGGCTGTGTGTTTCCATAACAACGGCTGACCAGGCCACACTACAGAGGCGCAAAACCACAAACTCAAAAGATACAAATCCTCCACCTGATTGGCCTCACCCTTCTTTCTTTCTTTCTTAAAACTATCAAGGCAATGAACCATGAACAAAACACATACTCTGAGAAGAATATAGATCAGTTTTCTTGGAGGAGAAGATGACATAACACAAACTAAATGAGGCAGAATGCAGAGCAGAGTCATTTGATCCAGTCTTTTGCTCCGGAAATTGTCATTCCAGTGAGTGAAGGCACAACATCCATTTCCCACACCGTCCACTCTCTGCGACTATTCCTCCTTCTTCTTCCTCGTTCATTGTCATTGCCTTTTTCCTTTTAAGTGCACTTTCGCCCACACCACTTGGAAATTGATTGAAACAAAATGTCACAATTATGCCCTGTAGCTCGCCGCTTCAATTATTCATCAATTAGGGGGCCGGGCTCCTTTTTTTCCCCCCCTCTCCTCTGAGCTGATTTTTCATTCAGTTTGCTCAAGATGTATGGCTCCCCTGCTGTTAACCAGTCCAAAGTCATTAGTTTCTGGGTTTGCAATTAAAGCTGATGCATTATGCATGAGGCTCCGACTCAGCAGACACACACACGGCGGCGGCCGCGGCAGCTAGCTAGCGAGCGGGCTGGTAAGCTCTGGAGGCGTGGATGAGAAATTAATTTGCTCGCAATGAAGTTCTCTCCATCCCTCCCTCTCTGTCTCTGCGTTGTCTGGCAGGCTGGAACAGATGCCAGCGGTTTTAGATTTAGACGGAAGCAGGTTCTCCCGAATTCTGTGCAACCGCGGTGTGTTTAGCATCGTCCTAACAGTTATACTCGTAATATAGTGTATCAAACAGCTGGTCATTATGTTGGTCAAATGCTGGGCAGATGTGGGAAAAGTTTCACCAGCAGAAACGAAGAAAGACAGAAAACGTTTGTGTCTCAGAGTACATCGGTTGTGTGTTTTTAGTCACTAAAGCTGTCTCCACCTGCTTCAGCTTATGAGGCTACGATCAAAAACTCTACAAAAGCTGTAGTTGAGAACAAGTGCCAATTTTCTGTAAAGGCTGTTGGTCTGAGTCAACAACTAGAGGCCTGTGATGATCATCTACTGCCACCTAGTGAGCTCAGGGTCTCATGTGGAACGTCAATGATGTATTCAGAGACCTAGTAAACTGCTTTTTTTTTTCTTTTACCTTTCACATTTTAATGCGTTTGTGTTTGATTTGCAACAACACCGTAGTAGGGGCGTCCGTCCCCGCTGAAGCACCGGTATGAACAGAGGAGGGCCCGCACCGGAATAGTCTGCAAACTCCTCACCTTCACGTCCTGGAACACAAAAAAAACATGTTTAATTTGTGTGATCCTGCTTAGAATCAGCTGTCTCACCGTACCCACTAAACATGACATCGTTTGACTTTTAAAATAGGAAAACATCTCAGTCATACCATGTGTAATGGCAGCAGATCCAATATCTGTGTCATTCTGAGTGAAGCACTTTTGAAAAGAATGGACGCGAGCAAGCTGGGTTCTTCATAAACAAAAATTATTTTTCTAATAAAAAGGGTTTAACAAAAAAAAAAGGTTTCAAATACAATGTCCTTGTTTCCTAATTACACAGCGATCACGGTCAAAAAACGAAAAAATACATCCATGCTTCTCAAGTCCGTCTGGCTCCCCCACAGCTACTTCAGTTCTGAGGATGCGTCTTCTTTTACACACACAAACAAATGAAAAGTCCCAAATCTAAATGACGGTTAAATGACTCCAAACTTACAATTAACATTTCTTTCATTAAATAAATTAACCATAAATAGCAAAAATCTAAATATACAAATGCCTACATTCTAAATTGTATTCCTTAATATTTAAAATATTCAAAATAGCATGGATGGATGAGGTTGGTGCTGTTGGGAAAGTGTTTTTTACTTTCAAAAGTTACGTTTTTTACATTTCAGTATTTGAGACAAAAGAGCCTACAGCTGTAACTCCAGGAAAATATCAGAATCTGTGTTTTTGAATTGACTATAAATGAGGTCACAGGACAAACGAAGACTAAAGCCGGCAAAAAAATTTATCATTATGATTATACAGGGCTACACGATACAAACACGAATCAGTAGCTAGCATTAAACAGCTGCCTTGTTCTTCAATGAGGTTTTCTAATAACTGACTTCAGTCAGTTATTAAAACTTGTTTTGTTTTTAGAATCTACAATCACTTCTGTTATCTACGGTTCTTTGTAAGAAAAAGAGATGTTGACCTATGGAGAGTATTTTATTTGGAGTTTTAATATAATTCTGCAAACCGGTTGTGAATCTTTTTTTTTTTAAATGAAAGACATTACAAAAATGTTTTTTGTTATTTTCAGGTACTTGTTTGTAACTCAGTCTAATAACTGGTCAGACCTAACTGACAAAGCTCCTTCACATAATTTGTGTCTCGGTCTGGAAAGGAAACGTTTCGCTCTGGGCTGAGCTGAAAGGGGGATTGGACCCGACCTTTTTCAGATGGACGAATTGCACGGCGTCCAGCCAGGTGGCGAGGAGCGGCGCCCTGCAGGCGGCGCAGCGCCCGGCGCCGGTCAGCAGCAACCGGAGGTCCGCCCGGCGGGCCAGAGCCCGGTGCACCAGGGAGAACCTCTGCTCATCCTCCCGCAGGACAAACCTGGCAACCTGCTCCTGTGGTGGAGCGAAGGGGGGAAGGGGGGGGACAGGAATGGGCATGAATGAGACAAGATATCCGAATCTGTGTTTTTTAATATTGTGATAATGTTCTTTATTTTCTGTAATGCAATTAAAAATCATGAAATGTCATACATT